TTTTGGTGCTTCAGTTTGTTCCATTTAATTTTTCTACCTTGTTAACTGTTGCAGTTCCCTTCCCCATCTCGCCTCAAAAAAAAAAAAAAAAATTATCCATCGATCCTAGCTATAACCAGGTAAGCAAATGGAATGTAAATTAGAAAAAAACAATACTTATCTGTCATATTTTGTGAAGTAAATGAGTATTGTGATGAAGCCTGTGCCATGCTTTCATAAACAGTAACCAGCACACTCTGAGCCTTAAGATGTTATAAACAAATCAATCTTAAGACTAGCATTATTTAATGCACTAAGGTACCCTGTATGCAAAACTTCCAGCTGCTTCACAGCACAGAGGTGAGATACATTATAAATTAAAACTGTATTAAAATCTGGAGTGAGCTATTTTTTCCTAGAAATTCTTATCTTTGCATTTGTAACTGATACTCTAGCCACAGTATTTATGTAGAAGAGAAAAACTTGCTATTTTTTTAATTATCAATTTTTAAAAGTCAAAATAACAAGCAGATTTAGCAACTTGGTACAATTTTCTCAAAAAAAAAAAAAGAAAAAAACTGGTGCAAGACAATTGCGAGTTCCAGCATCCCTCAATTTCCTAAGAATATATCAATTTAAAATAGCACTTACCAGACACTCTGTTTTCTAATGCAAGCATGTGCATATATGGCATTTCTCACTTTTTTGTATTACATGTAAAATATGGTTACATAATACTTGTTCATAATTCTGAAGGTAATGTTAATTCTTTCGTTATATTTTTCTTGTACTTTGTACTTTATTAGAGGAAAAGAAGATACTTATGGATACTTAAGGTTTACATGAATCCAAACTAAAAAGCATTTCGTTGCTGTCACATTTACTCTTAGCAGTTGATTTAAACCAGACATAAGCCTGGTTCACACTCCTGGCTCTGCCATGAAGGACCAGGTCTGGTTCTACATGAACAGCAGCACAGGCTGCCTCCTGGCATCGTTTTTGTTTCCTCTTTGTTTCTATGTCTGCTACTACTAGGATTAAATTTAGTCCACTATATTACATATGTTACTTATTGAAATGTAAACATTTCCACACTAAAATAGAAATCTTTTCGGTTGTTGAGGGGTTTTCTTGATTTTTTTTGGAGGGGGGTGAATCTTGGATTTCAGAAACATTATGGATTATACTTACAACTTTCAAACTACAGCTGGGAACTTCAGTGCAAATAGCTTTGAGAGACGAAACAAAATTAAATGTAAGGGGATCTGTGTCTCTTGAGAAACTTATGAGAAGACGTACTTTAATACTTCGCAAAACTAAAGCTTCTCGTATCTTCCCATCTAAATATGGCCAGTATCTGTGGAGAAAGAATACAGTACATTGAAAGATCTTAAAAAATAAGTGAGTTTTTATCCAGACAAACTTGGATATCGCAGAGAAAACCATAAAAAAATCTGAACAGTGTTTTCCAGCAGCTTAAGGATTGTGGTTCTCCCTTGAAGGGGATCTGCCCGATGCGATTTGCTGGCATCCTTCACGTCATTCTGCCTGCACCAAAGCCGTGGAGGCAATGGAGATGGCTGCGCACACCTGCTTCTGTAGGAGGGAGGGCTGCCTACAGACGTGCACAAAATACAAAATCTCCGCACAAAACCCTTGTCTCCCTCTGGCCATCAATGTTACTCCTCTGTCAATGCCTTCAGGTAGAGCTCCTGGGGGTCAAAGAAACAGGAAGAGCTACAGCTATAGGGGGCTCCTTACCCGGCCCAGTCGGGGGGACAAGAAGCACTTTCTAGTAGCTACACAAGGGAAGGAAGGGGCACAGAATCCTCCCCTACCCTCACTTTTCCTCTGCACTGGCAAACTCCGCACTCGAGCGGGAGGAAGGAGAACTGCTCCCTCTGGGTGTCCACACTGCTTAGCGGGGACAGGAGATGGGCTGTGCAAGGAGGAGGCTGCCTTTCTTCCTAGAGAGAAACTGCCACTGAGGGAAGAGCAGCTTCCACGGCGCTCTTCTCACAGCCACTAGTTAGGGGTTTTAGTTCCCAAACTGTGGGTGGGAGCAGGTGCATTCTTGACAGCATAAAGAAAAAATGACAAGGGTGGATAAGATGAAACTCTGAGGTTCCTACAAAAGTATGATTCTATCAGTGTGATATAAGCTGTATGAAATAAACTCATTTAAAAAACTCCCGTGGAAATAAAGTATCTTAATGCTTCATGGCATCCAAATAGGTTAATGAAAGGTTTAAAGATAAATTTTGTTTTATTTTTTTGAACAAATTTCAATAAAAGCCATTTCTCCATCTTTATTACTAAAATCTGGAAGAAAGTACATAAGAACCAGATTTTTAGTTTTGCTTACTAGTGTTTACTTTAGAGCACACAGATGCAATGATGAGCTGTACTAGATGCTCAAGAGCAGCAGGGACCACTTACCTAGCCTTCTGAGCTGATGGGCTTTCTTTTACACTGTGGCTCTGGCTTTGGGTCAGGAGCACTTTTTAAAAATGTGGTCCATACATACACCATGAATAACAAAAATATGGCTTTGTTTTTAGCAACCTTCAGTTAACCAAAAAGGGATATAAAGTGCAAGCTGCAGAATTTAAATTTTCATGTATATATATTTCAGCTAAATGATGACATCTCCCACATTGTATATTAGAACTCCAAATGTTATTTATCTTTTAAACCCATACACACCCTCACTCTCTCTCACACCAAGTATTTGTATGGTATTCATTTGTATGGTATTTGTATTCACATAATGCCAAAAGTTTTAGTATCAAGGCACTGAATACATCAGTGTAAGAAAGAGGATTCTCATACAGGCAGGTTCTTGTATTCCTCAGTTCCAGTCATTTGCAGATGGCCAGATTAGAGAAGTTCTGATCTCCTTCGATAGACAGATCCAAACCTTAGGACCCAAAACTGGAAATGTCTTCTTAGGTCCCAATTCTGCTCCCATTTAAGTCAATGGCAGAACTCTCACTGATTTCAATAAGAGCAGAATTGGGCCCCAAGAAATTTGGTCCACAGTAGTGAATAATCTCCTGTGGGTTCATTTTGTTCAGTAAGCCTTATCAGCAATAAGAAAACATGCTTGTTCTGGACATGGACACTCACCTTTTAGCATTTGTGTCAATGACGATAGGCAAGTAGTCCATGACGGCTATGTACACAAACTGCTTTGCATCATCAATAACATTGTATATAGCTTCAATATCCAGGACTCTGTCCTTTGGGCAGAAGAGTTTAGGTGAATTCTGTGAAGGCAAAAATTCAAATACTGCAAATAAAATATGTGGAAATTTTTTTTTTCTTCCCCAATGCCCCCCATTTTGGCAAGCAATATTAGATATTTTAGTAGAGACTGTTAAGTGATACCTTTAACTGTCCTGCTAGAAAATAAAAAGTTGCAAATGAGAGTAATTTGCTCAATTTTCCTTTGAGAGCTTTTCATTTAGATATAAGTGTAAGTAAAATGCAGAGAGCACAAACTTGAAACATCCTATGCTTTCAAATCAACTGTATTTGAAAAGTTATGGATCAGAGAATTTTTGTTCCAAAGTGTCACAGTACCGGCTACTATTAAATGGAGGAAAATTAATGTTCTTACAACAGTGAAGCTGATCTATCACTTGCAATCAAGAACCAAGTTTTTGTAAGTTTTTATTATGCCACCTGCTAAATGTCGCTGCTGCAAGGAGATGCTGTAGATTCTCAAGAAAATTATCTTTAGAACTTACCTTTATATATAAACATCAACACACCACCTATTGAGTTGGTAAGTGAGAAGCTCAGATCTCAGTTTTCTGCTCTGCATTTAGGAATTTTCAACAGGTCATTCCCTTGCTTGCCAGCAAGGCAAAGTCTGAGAAGCTAAGAGAAGCCGTGGGAAGCCACCCCTGCACCTAGAAGGGAACCCAAGGACCTTTTGCTCTTCCTCTCAGATTGGCAAAGGGAAAGAGCCTGCTACCTGCAGGCTGCTCAAAAGCAACATCCAACCTGGAGCAGTGGTTGTTAAAGGCAACTTATAGAGTTGGGGCCAGGGGCCAGGTAGAGCAGGGGCCAGTCGCTCTACCAACCCACTGCCTCCCTATTGCTGTTTGATCTCGCCTTTACTCTGCATCTGACGTCCAGTTTAGTATGTTTTCTTCAGGGAGAGATTTTCTTTCTTTTTTTTTCTTTCTTTTCTCCCCCCAGTACAGTGCTTATCACAATGGTGCCTTAACCACTGACTGGTGTTCTTAGGATTTACTTTTACTGCAAGCAAATATGGTCAGAAAGTAGTTAGAATAATTAACAGTAGTAAGATTTGAAGATCACAATTTGAGATCCATTCCTGCGCACTGGAAAAAGACCCCAAACCCTCTTGTGTTTATTAGCCAGTCTGGAAGATGTGTTGCTGCTAAGCAACTATATAGCTATGATTCCCAACTATACTAACAACAACAAGACGACTTTATGTGTGGATTTTCTATACAGGAAGATTGAAAGTGAAATATATTTCCAAACAATGAGTTTGGACTCAAGAAACAAAGTGTAGAATGATTGTGTTAAACATAATTTATGTCTATTATCTGAATGACTTTTAAGAGGGTACTGCACTGTGATCTTATTTGCATACACTTTCTTAATATTTTCTTGGATAGAAGTTTTAAGCTATACAAAGAACAGCCACAAAATGAAACAGTTACACATTTTCTTTTGCAGTTGAGTTTATACTAAGGACCAGAGCACCGAAGAGATTTAGAAGATACTTAGAAATGAACATTTCTGGTAAGATTTGCTCTCTTAACGCTTGTGTTCGGGCACTCCACTTGTCAGTTGCGGAACAGCAGACCCCTCAGCTCACTGAACACTTCGGGACATGATCGGTTTCAGTGTTTAATATTTGCCATCCTGACCAAATTCTCATCTGATACTCGTCTTCCAGAGGCAAGGCTGCCAACGTGGCCCTTTCGGTAGCTCCCAATGCCGCTGCTCGGCACGGCTGGAAGGGCTGGGGCGCAGGCGCAGCCGGGCCCAGGCAGCTGCCCATGCTGGCCCCTCCGGCTCGGGGCAGCCACTGCTGCTCCCTCGGCTGTAGGGGACGTTCTTCTGGACTTCCTGCTGGTTCAGAACAGTGACGTTCACACTCTGCTTCTCCACACCAGGCCGGCACAGTGCTGAGAGAGCCCTTCCGACGGGCACGCTGGCAAACAGCTGCTGAATTTCAGGGAATTTGATAGCAGGTGAGAAATCTATTGTACAGCCTGTTTGCAGGCAGGAAGAACTGATTATAAAGATTGAAATTCCTTTATTTTTTTCTCCCTCACTCATATCTTTTGAGATGAAAAATAATAAAAATAATACTCTTTTCCTGATCCTCATCTTTTTAGTAGAGGGAAAGAACAGCACAGAGACTGGTGCTATGTTGAAATGCGGCATAAGGAAGAAATCAAATATGTTTCCCAACAGTGTAATGTAAGTCACTCTCACCTATGGATTCAGACATCTCTTACCATATAGACAAGGCTTCCACTGATTTCAGAAACAGAGACTGCTGCTGACACACAGTAAATGCCGATGCACAAACTCCTTGCTTTACAGGCTGTGCAAATTCATGCTTGTGAGATCCTGGTGAGTTCTTGCATAATATATATATATTGGGAGCTAACTCAGTTCGAGAGGTCTGCACCAATTCAGCGCTAGGTCCCTGCCTGCAGAGAGAGCAGGTTTTCTTTTCTCTTGCACCACAACAACATCAAAACAAGTAGAGGTGCTTTAGTTTCATCCAAGCCCATTTCTCAAGCTTAACATTCATATAGTTAATCTATAAAAGTTGCATTCTTTTTTTCCTGATGATAGCCTAGTATTAAAGTGTCTCTGACTAAAAGTTCAGGGACCTCCCACAGTTAGACTTAGCTGATCTGAGATTCCGAGTACCAGTAACTCCTTCCTGTTTTCCAAAGCGGAATTTCAAGACAAGAGGCCTTTCGCCCAGTGCAGAAAAGAAGAAAAGAAATCAGAGAGAAGTGAACACTGAGAACACTGCAGAAGAGCAGTTTTGTAGAGACCTTCTTTACTCTTCTTATGAAGCCTTCA